AAAAATTGAGAAGAAGATGATGAAGAAGAAGAAGAATAGGTAAAAAGGGAGAGAGTGAGAGAGTGAGAGAGAGAAAAGTCGACGAAGGTCCTGTGATTTTCGTTTCCCTTGTGCAGCGGTATTGCCTGTCGAGTAACCGACTGCAATACCAGACCTAACGCCAGTTGCCTTTCTTCTGTTGTGTAGCTGTGCACCGGTTTCCTTTTAGATTATCAGGTGTTCATCCTTGGTACGTGAAGTCTCGAGGCATTTTCATGAAAAGATTTCAAAAAGTGGTCTCATATACTGAAAGCTACAACAAATGTAGCCCATCGGCGCCCTCAATCTGTAGCCGACTATTGGATATTAACATCCCAAATGAGCCTAGCACCTTTCAGGGATTCAGTAGTAGTTTGCCTTGGCTCCCCAACTTGATGCCCAGACATAGTTAAACTGAGCCCACTCGGAAGAGGAGGTCTGGTTGGCAATATTACCATCGGAGCCCACGAATGCCAGGTGGAGACATGACCCCTGATAGGCAGTATATAAGCGCTAATGCACCTTTAGCCCTGGTACAAATATGGCCACTGTCAAACATGGCTATCCTGAGTTGAACTAATTGGCCCAATTTTCGCGCCTTCGGTTACCCTCCCCTTGTCAACTAATCCTAACTAATGTTCGATTCTGAGGGCGCCAAAGCACAGCCCCTATACTGTTATAACCCCCGATGCGTCATCCCAGGCATCTCTCTCGTCTACTTGAGAACTTGATAAACCAGGAATGACGAGTTCACCTTGATTCATACGTGCTACTGGCGAGAACCTGGAGGGACTTGAAATCAACAAACACACCATAGTCCTAAAATGGCATCTGATCCCGCAACGTCAACAAAGACGGACGATGTCTCGCACACTATAACTACACTGGCCATGACGACGGCCTTCACTCCGCCGGCGTCTTGCTCGAGCTCATGGACGTATGAGCCGTCAGTGGCCAACAACGTGCTAAATGGGCTGCTACTACAGAACGCCGCCGCATCTGACAATGCGGATCCCGCTTGCTTTCCGTCGGGCTTCAGTCAATATGGTAGGAAGACAGCCGACCGTGTTTATAGCCCCGGTTACTGTCCTATAGGATACACGTCCGCCGATGTGGCCATTGAACAACCTACAACGACTGTAGTCTGTTGTCTCTCGTATGTGATCCTCTTTGCATTTCTTTGACTCTCCTTGCTCCACCTTTTCACACCCCACGCTTTGTATATTGACCCAGATGCAACTATAGAAAATACTCGTATATGACCAAGATCATGGAAAATAACGGCGCAATATATGCTGGCTGCATAAGCACCTTCCCATCAACAACCTCTACTATCGTCACTGTTCGCCAAGACCCGAAGAAAAGCACCCAGGTACAAGGCCCCATTACTATGTGGGCACAGCCGATTACAATACAGCTGCAATCGTCCGATTTGAGCCTATTTGTTTCTGCCACTCCAACCACTGCAGCTTCTTCCACATCTGATGCTCCTTCAACTCAGCCCACCACCGCTCATCACACAACCGCTCCTCCGACAGCGACAGCATCCGGAGAAACTACAAGCTCTGGATCCAGTGGTATATCGACAGGGGCTGGAATAGGGATAGGTGTGGGTGCGGGTGTTGGCGGACTCATTGTTCTTACGGCGATTGGGCTTTGGTTCTTCCGTCGCCGACGGAGAGCTAACAAGAATTTGACGTCCATGACTGACCCCTTCGGCTCCCAAGGAATGCCGGGCTACCATCGTGCTCGAAAGATAAATGCGGACCCAGCAGAGCTGGACACTTCTGCTCGTCAGTCTCAAAATATACATGAACTTGGCTGATAAATCCTTATGCTCTCCGCGTTCGACGTTGCTGATACCCCTCGTCTGTCAATTAACTCATTGCAATAATTTGTTTTGTGCGGACACATATAATGAACAATCTCATGTGCGAGTGTTTGAACAGCTTTGCTAACTCACTGAGTACTGCACGGTGGTCAACACTTCTCCTCACTCTCCCTGTGGATGTACATAAATTAGTCACTTTATGGTATTTACAATCTACAATACACTTCATCGTCTACATAGATTCCTTGTACGACCCAACATTATTCACCACCCAAGCGGAGCGACTCGTTGGACACCTCAACCGTTCAGGTTATCCCTGGGCACCCACGATTGCTCCAACCACTCGCTCAGTGGCGGCCTTTTTCCTCCCTGGTTGCATATTCACAGCGCCGAGCATCTCATGCGGCTTACAATTTACTAATTGACAATGAATGAGAGAGGTATATACTCTAATAGCGTAATTGCATCCGTTCTAGGAGACCGAGCTACATAAACAACAACACAAGAACTATCACTGTCCTTCGTCCCCCTCTATCGTTGCCCCTTCAGTGTCTCCATCCTCAAGCCACATTTCTATCTCCTCCACATCAAACTCAATCTGCCAGTCCCCCCTCCAGGTGTTAGCGGCATACATCGGCTGGAATTGATCAGACACATTGTGGGATACAATCGCCCTCCTCGCATCTTGCCGCAACATTACCGCCGCACCATTTCCTCTTTGACCGATAACAAGCTCGCCTCCATCCAACTCGTGGCCTGGTCGGGGGCCATTTCCACGGAAGCTGTCCTGGATATCACTTAGCTGGAATAAGAACGGTGTATTTCCGTACGCAAGACGAGGTATATAGTAGCCAAATATGGTCTTCTTTCCTGTCTCCGAGTTCTTTCCGGAGAGAAGGAGGACAATCGCAGCCTCGGGATAAGCATTTAGTCTTTCTGCTATCGTCGAAGCTGTGAGGGACGTAGTTCTCAAATCGTAGTACACGTATTGTTGAAGCTCTCGCGTGACCGCAAGAATTCGAAGTGAGGCCATCTGAGCAAAAACAGCGAAAGTCGCTACTTTTCCTGACTGTGGGATGTCCAAAGTGTAGTATTTATCCTCGGGGTCTCTATAGAACGGGGTCAAGAGGCGCATTAGACCATCCACAAGCATGGGCTAAACGAATCAGTTCCACTCTCAATCGCATCAATGCTTGAACGGACTTACCATCCCATTACGAGCCGCCTGGTCATACATATCCCAGGTAATCCCGATATCGGGTCTTTGGATAGCAGGGCCGACCATACAATCGACAACATGGTCCAGGTCAACTAGCTGCTGGACTGGAACTTGTGGCTTTCGAAAGAATGTCGTCATCAGCAACTTCACAACAGCTCGAAACTGGTCCTGGGGGATGCTTAGGTCATGAAGGCGCTCGTCACTGGCTAGCTTCCTCGCTGTCGCCCGGAAGTAGTCTCGAGGGGATGGCACCAGCCAAACTATTTGAGGCTGAATACTGAACAGCGCATCAAGGATGTCGTGGAACATCTCATCTCCGTGATCATCGTAGTTCGTTTTAGGGAATGTAAGGTCACCGCAATCATGACTAGCGCAGGTGAAATCAGAAGCTCTCCTCTGGGCCTGAGCCTTGGCGTATTCTGCATCGAATGGGATAGACTTGCCATCTCGAGCTGTTGCCAAGCTTTGGAAAAATTGTCTTCTAGAGTCTGCCGGTGATCGGCTTCGACTCCATCTACATGCTTCATGGACCGGCCTCACCCGGCCTGGCATGGTCCACGCGAGTGCACGAAGTAACCCCATATAGGTGAGGGAATCAGGGATCGGGTGATGAAATGGGTATTGAGATAGGTATAGAAGACTGCGGTAAACGAGTGCACCCGCCTCTCTCATGGACGGAGAGAGAAAGCCGGTAGACTCAAGGAAAGACAGGAATGCAGATTGAGTGAGTACCTGTATGCCATTTTCCTCGACAGCCAGCGAGTCAAAGGTCCCGCGCAGGTGTGGCAGCTCTTTCTCTGATTCGATAACGCCAAACTTGCAGATTCTCCGGGTCAGCTTGTATAATACAGCATCGCGATCCAGGAGGCCTTGAGCAGTCAGCTCGTCAATTTTCTGGTAGTGATTGGGATTGTCAAGGTCGATAGGCTCGTCCATATTGAATGGTGAGGGGAGAAAAGACGCAAAACAGAAATATGGTGAGGAACAAGTAATGATAAAGTGGGAGGGAAAAAGAGGAGGCTGGCAAGAAACGACCATGGTGCGGTTATTTATTTCGTCCTCAAGTCACAACAACGTCTCTGCCTGATCCGGAGCCAAAAGGCCTGCTCCCAACCCCCACTTTCTCCTATATCGGTTCGCCCTATAGGTCTAGGATAAGAGGACGACTTTAATGAGAAGGGGCGTCCGGTAAGCTTACAACGACCTCCTGTGCTTATCATACAGAACTTAAGGAGCGGCATCCTAGTTGCTATTATTGTTGGCCTCTACGTATGCCATGCTCTTTGCCATATAACTGTCGTTATTTCACATTTGACCCCCACATGGAAGGACGGAAACCCTGGCGATCACGGTTCATCCCGGTAGATCTTTTGATGGGGGCGGAACGCCATACTAACTCCCAGCGCACTGTCCTGCTTCGGCCTTTCGACTAAAACCAGGATAAGGTATAGAATAGGTCCAATATAGCCTTAAAATAAGTATACTCTGTAGGACTCATCGCCCTTCGCCCCCACTAAGTGCTAACAGACAACTGTCAGCATGAAACATCATCGTGAGCATCAAACCACTACCCTCGGTCGAACGGCCTCAATCCCTGTCAATTGTTGGTGGCCTGGCCTTTGGGGTGAGGAACTTGTATAGACCTTCCCAACACTTGTAGGGAGAGCGGAAACAGATAAATAGAGGTACAATGGCACGGCAGTCAATATACCATCAACTGCAACATCAATCCTCTCCTCTCAATTCCTTCCTCGTCTTTCTCAAAAGCAACAACATATCTGTGAACTACCAGAGTATTCAACAGCCAGGATGAAGTTCTCCAAGATCCTCTCCATCGTTCTAGCTACCCTTGCCGTGGGTGTCAGAGCCCATCCCACTACCCCTTTCAACGATATCCAGCACGTCCCTCAGGACATCAGCAGTGGCACACTTGACTCTGCTTCCGACATCGAAAGGCGCGCAAACCACGATGAAACCGACCGCTTCAAGAAAACCCAGAAGGGTCTGGGCAAGCAGAAACTTCAGCTGGGCAAATCCTACTCCTTCAAGGTCACCTGGACCAGCGGCGCGGCCGGCTCAACGACTAAGACCACATATCCCATCCAGAGAGAAATGAAAAAGACTCAACAGGAATATGGATTTGATCATACTGCTATTGTTGTCGGTGAGGTTGTGAAGATCAAACAGGGAGAGGTTTTCAAGTTGGACTTTAAGGGCCGAATGTACCACTTGCGTGCTGATCTGGAGGGTAGCGGCCAAAGGGCATGGTACAGAACCTCGGTGGAGGGCGTTGAGTGGGAGCCCAAGGATCCCAAGGATTCCAAGGGGCCCCCGAAGACAATGAAGTATTTGCACTTAAAGGAGGTCGACGGAAAGTGGTCAGAAAAGGCTGCTCACGCTAATACGGCCGGTAGGTTGTCCGCAATCCTTTTGTTTTTGGGGGAGGAAGAGAAGACGATTGAAAGCTAACGGTTCATTCAAGCTACCAAGGTTAGCGATAATAACGGCAACAAATGGCAGGGCAAACGGAACGACTGCGAAGAATATGTCAAGGCTTTTGAGAAGGCATTGTAGGAGTGTGGCCAGAGTTGTACTGAGAATTGAGTAGAGCACATATCGGTGGATTGCAGTGATCGAGGAAATGTGCTTGGTAGTGCTGGGTGGTGGCAACAGCCAGTTTGGTCCCTTTTCTTGTTCTACAGATTGGAGTAGTGATGCAGAGTCAGGAATTGCACGAGTTTGGTTCTTACATCATACATTGTCTAGAATGAAGCTGAGGTCGGAGACAGTTTGCATTTTGCAGGGTCTGAATAGCTCCTAGGAGATTGCATGGCACTGCTAGAGGCCCTCAGGTTGACAATACTTGTGGCCGGCGATTTGAATGAGCATTCGAAGAGATCAAGTAAATCGCTAATTAGCTATCGACAGAGAGTAGGTCCAATTAGATTATCTTTAGAAGATAGATTCGCTATTTAATCTAGGTAATCCGCCAGAACTCAGATTCGTCTCTTGGAGTAGTATTGCATGGAGTGTGCATCGAACATGCCATCTCCCGCATAGACATGTGAGCCTATTGGTAGGAATACTCTGGTCCCGTTTTTGATATATTAATTCTACTATACTCGGAGAAATCACTTTAACCTACGAGCTTTATCAAGATAGTGGTGCCACTATCTGGCACTGCAGAATATAAAGTCAACAAGCACGTCGAAGGGTATAATATTAAGATAGATCAGTCCTGTCGGTTATATTAAACCTGTATACCATATTCGTTACATTGTTTATATCAGGTTCTACTAACGAGAGTGTATACCCAGTGCTGGGTAAAAATAGCTAAAATTAAAAATCCGCGAGAGCCGTGCACGATCCGAGAAAGACTTTTAATTCCCTTTAGAAACTTCCCGCTGTTTATAATTGAGAGAGATACCATCGAGAGGAATAAGATCACTCACAGTTTGCTCTTTCTCTTTTAGTCTTGCTTTGAACATGTTGTTCAACTAAAGATCTATGCCTCTCGTGAGAATGAGATCAAAGTATAATCATGAAATACCCACTAGAGAAGGCAGTTTACACTATTCCAGAGAGCCCATTCGTCTAGGACATCCCCAGGTATTCTGCTGATAGAGAATTAACACGGACCATCCAAGCGGCAACTGAGCTATAGTCAGCTTTCAACTGACGTAGTTCTGGGGTGTGCAAAGGCATTTTAGCGGTTAAGATATACCTTTGCAAAAAGAACTGAGTAAAGGCACGGTCCAATAGATTGGTGGGGCATGTCCTTGACTAACCTTGCATCACCCAAACAAGCAGTTCTTCTGATCCTGTCCATCGCTTTACCGTAGTTTGGAGATGGGCGGAGTACCTCAGGCCATGCGTAAGGGTCGTTATGGTGCGAGAAGTGTCGCTGTCATGAGAGGAGACGGCCATGGTAGTATTCCGTTGAATTTTCCGCCCTGTGTGATATTGACGCGAGCTGGAGTATAAATAACATCGTGGAAAACGTATCTGGTCTGGCGAACGGGCATAGATTGTGAGTACTGGGAATCCTTCGTGATGAAGATGCAATCGCAAATCTAAATAAGGCCGAAGAAAAGGATCCCAACTACACCTATTGCAACCTCAATGGCAAAAGCCTTCAGGATGATTTTAACGTAGCGAATGCGAGCCCCCCATTCAAAGCTAGTCCAGGCATCTCGAATGCTGAGCTTGCCGCTGCCACCCACATTTTCGGGTTTCACCTTGCCGCCAAAAAGCCGGTCAAAAGGCACGATCGGGTCATCCTCCTCGGGCAGCATAGAGGCAGCCACACGAGTGAATATTCCCCTGGCGGGAATAGAAGCCAATAGGTAGAATATAGCGGAGAGAATGCTAATGACTATGAAATCGAGACGCCCTGTATCTTTCCAATTGCCAGCAACGCCCATGACGGTCCCACCAGCGAGCCTTGCAGCGGCTGTAGGCAGAGAGAAAGTTACGGACATTAGGAAATTGTACAAAGCAGCCGCAGGAGCAATTCTAGGCCAATGCCGGAGGCCAAGCATACGCCGGTAGGAGCTCCTTGGAGATTGATCGGCGATCACAAGATGAACCCAAGCCATGTGCCAAGTAGCCAGAAACATGCTAACGACGAACAGCCCCAGAAATGAACTGATGAGAGAGTCGATAGGAACCGGTAAAGTCACTGGAAGTAGAAAGCCCACGCCCATGTCGAGGGTTGTGAAGGCCAGATACATACGAAATCCACGGAAGCACGACCAGATGCCACCACGGGCGCGTAGGTGGTCAATGGCCGAGCGTAGCCCGCTAGTGATGGGCTTATTGGTTGATGCAGCCATGGCCTCGGGGTCATGAGGATCGCAGGGACCGTTAGAATCTTCGCGATCGAGGCGAATATAGGTATTGGGGTTCGAGCCTTCGATCGCGGCCAGAGTCCCAATAACCTGGGTGCAGGTGTAGTCAACCTATCCCCGATCTTTGATGAGCTTCAATAGTTGCTATCCCTAATACTCATACCGACTCACCCAGAATATTGCCATACTAAATGCAAGGACCGTAAAAATGACAACTAGGAAGCCCAGCAATTGCGTTGCAGGCTGTTGGCGGGATTGGAGCCGAGCGGAAATCAACTCGCCGCCCCGACGTATGAGAACACTGCCAACAGATGACATGATGATTGATTGAGTAACATGAACGGATTGCGAAGAGGAAGAAGCAGGGTCGAAATTCGGAGCCAGAGTGGGCTAGTGGTTTAATAAAATTCAAGTACATGGCGAGTGTCCGTGTGATGAGCTTGCCGCTGATGTTATTCGCCCCCAAACGTTTGGCCCTAGCTTCATTTGTAGTCCAATTCAGGGTTTTTTTTCATTGCCCCACTCCCAGAGCACTAGGTCATTAGTAAACCACTGACTGGTCCAATCTCATTACAATCGAATCAAATAAGTATACAAAAATGGTACAGAAAGTACATCATACTCGTGGTGAACGTAACAGTGAGATGCCAGGATTCGCACTTGGCTATAACCTACATGGAGGAGATAGGTTAACACAAGTCACGAGGCTTTGGCGGAGTGCAGTCTATACCATACAACATGCATGCAATCACTACATGCCGTGATGAATTACTACTGTGACTAACCGAGGAAGAAATTGCGATGGGGCCGGTTCCTGAATTCTCTGGGTTGAGACTTAAAAAAAGATCTGAGTCCTTGCTCTGCTAAAGTGGAACTAGTGACAGCTAGTCCGAACACCAAGCCTCCTCAAGTGGACTCGGAGATTAAATTAGTGTCCCAAGCTGACTTCAACTGTCTGCCACGCACAATACTTATAACTTAGGGTCGACGTAGTTGATTTTGCTGGTGGCGGGATCTCTAGTCTCTCTCTCCTCCCCTCCGCTGTCATCTCACATTATAAGAAACTAATTGGCTCTCATGACAAGTACATTTGGACCTATTGAGAATATATAAGTCTTAAAACTATTTACATGGTAATTAGGAAAAGAAATTCTCTAAATTCTATTGTTCTTATGAAGAAATCTTTTATATACACCGAAAATCCATGTTGTATTCTAGTAGAGCATGTGTTGATAAAGTGACTGGTCTATAATTATTTACACCCTAGTGACTTTAACATGGCTCGTAAATAATTTTCTGTCCATTGCAATGAAACCGCAATTCCATGTCAGTCGAACCTGCTCACCCTGTTGTAGGACCCCGCCGTAAGATATAGTTCTGATTCTGTAAAGTGACTAGATAGTAGTGCCGTACCAAGTGATTTAGGTATAGGGTACCCGTAATTTCTAGTCTTGTAGAGCCAGACCAGATCCTGCGTGTCGACCCACCGTGCTTGAGTGTATGCGTGCTCTAATCCCTGAAATTCCTCATCCCAAACCATTCACTGGCCTATGGCATGGATTCAAGCTTATCCTTACATTGCGTATGTAACATGACTCATTTCCTCTATTCTTCTCTCCCCTTCACCCCCTCTTTCTTGGTGCATCTCCACCCATGTTATCCCTCTATCGTGAAATGTTAGCTTTCTCAATGGGAACGACAACACGACTAGGAACAAGCTTTGTTGAATTAGCTCTCATATTGTGGACATGCATACCCGTGATCCGTAGTCTTCGACGGCAGTCTCGAAATCCACCTTCCGACGACGGCCTTTACCATGACGAGGATGGGGATGCAACTAGTGAATCGCTCGAATCATTTTCTGATACATGGCAGAGAATCCTTTTGATAGTATTATCTCTATTTGGACTCGGCTGCATGTTGAGTGCGCTTTCGGCACAGGCAGCCGTGGACCAGACTAGTCATCGCTTCTCAGTCTTGCTTGAGATTGGATCCTGGGTAGGAGGATAACTCCCACCCAACTGAAGTATAAAAGTACCCAATGAACTAATCATGTCTGTATATTAGACCCTCATGACCATTCAAGCTGCTGGAGTTTATACAGAGCCGGTGCCCACCGAGCGTTTCAGGATCAGCCAGTGTGCCGCTTGCGCAAGCTTGTATCGGCCTTTGTCCGCGCTGTCGAGCTTTCGATGATTTCAAAAAGCGATAGGATATTGATGCATGTTTCGACGATACTTCGTTTGGGACACATTACAGCAGCCGTGATGAGAGGAATTGTCTGTATGCTGATACCGCGGCGCCCAGGCATATATTGGAACGGAAAGCCTGTTGATGCAGAGCTCACAGTTTCCATTTTGAACCGGCTGTCTTTCGCCTGGGCAGAGCCTCTACTGAGGTATGTCTCGATAAATCAGAGCCTGGGATTCGACAACCTGCCTCAGCTGGCACACTCCAAAAGAGCGGAGTATCTGCTTTCGCGTCTCGTAGTCGCTAAGGCTAGTGGAGGAAAGTTGTGGGAAGCACTTGCCACCATTCACATTCGATCCTTCATACAGCAGGTGGTCTTGACTATTCTATCTTCTGCTTTGAGCGTCGGTCCACAAGCTGCATTGTATCAGATTTTGCGATGCCTCGAAGTTCGTGGGTTGGACCCTTCAGCATCATGGCGGTCCTGGCAATGGGTTGTTATCTTGGGTGCTTCAAGTACTCTGCTCACCACTCTGCAGTCTTGGGTGCAGTGGCTGAACAACGCTGAAGTATGCATTCCCATGGTGGGAGAGCTTCTCACAGCCATTTATGCGAAGGTTTTGCGCACCAAGAGCATCAGATATCTGCCATCTGACCGTGGAGTCGGGGAGGCAAATAAAGACGCGGGTCACGACTCTCCACAAAGCACTATTAATCTTGCAGCAGTGGACTCGGAGCGCATTATAGACTTCGCCGGATATACGTATCTGATACCTTCAGCACTGCTAAGGTTACTCTTTTCCTGCATATTCTTAGCCCGTGTGATTGGGTGGAGAAGCCTATGTTCAGGAATTGCTGTGTCCGCCTTGGTGACTCCTGTCAACTCATATCTGACCAGCAGATATGGAGAAGCTCAACAGCGCCTCATGAGCACCAGAGACAACAAACTATCCATTCTCACTGAGATGCTTCGGGGCATGCGGCAAATCAAGTTCTCCGCGCTGGAGAGTGAATGGAAGAAACGCATTTCCGATTGTAGAGAAGAGGAACTTCGCGCCCTCCGTACGACATTCATCTACAACGCCACCTTGTTTCCAATATTCTGGAGCCTGAGTCCTCTGTTACTTTCTTCGGTATCTTTGTCGGTGTATGTCTTGTGTTACGGGAACTTAACAGCTTCGGTTGCTTTCACCGCGATACCAATGTTAGGATCTCTACAACTTTCCCTCGCAATCCTGCCGGAGTTTTTCACACGGGGTCAGGAGGCCAAAGTAAGCTCTCAGCGCATAAACAAGTACCTTGAGTTGGAAGATAAACCCCCTATTATATCTTCTCCAGATGGTACCTCATTCCAAGACGCCTCGGTCAGCTGGCCCACAGAAGGTCCCCTACTTGGTAAGGGTTCTGAGAGTGCTCTCCTTCACAACCTCAACCTGGCCTTCCCGAACGACGGCCTCAGCATAATTGTCGGAAAGACAGGATCTGGTAAAAGCCTTCTTATATCTGCCATCTTAGGAGAATGTGAGCTTCTCCGTGGCTGTATCAACACCGTTAGCTCGCCACAAGCATGTTCTGAGGAACTAGCAGACAATGAAGACTGGATCATTCCTACCATAGCAAATGTCACGGAAAACCCTTGGATTGAGAATTCCTCGATTAAGGATAATATAATCTTCGGACTTCCTTTCGATATAGCGCGATACAATAGCGTTTTGTCCGCCTGCGCCCTCCTTGAAGACTTGCGGTTACTCGAGGACGGTGACCTAACTGAAGTCCGCCCAAATGGTGTCAACCTAAGCGGTGGACGGCGCTGGAGACTTGCCTTGGCCAGAGCATTGTACTCTCGAGCTAACACTTTGGTTATGGACGACATTTTCAGTGCCTTGGATGCTCAGACTGGGCGTCATGTGTACAAGAACGCTTTGACGGGAGATTTGGCACGTGGCCGAACACGTATCATTGCTACACACCATGTTGGGCTGTGTCTTCCAGATGCTGATCATGTGGTGCACTTGAACAACGGGACTGTGGAGTATGCGGGAAAAGTGAGCGGGCTGCAAACGTGTGGCCCAGAACTCCTACCACCCCTTGAAGATCAAAGGTCTCAAGAGGCCACGCCAACAGCGGTGGAACGAGAAGATAGAAAGCCAAGAAGCTTTGTCATGGAAGAGAAACGGGAAACCGGCGCACTGAAAAGTTCTGTTTACCAAACCTACCTGAGAGCAGGCGGCGGACTCGGCATATGGACCCTCGTCTTGTTATTGTACGCGAGCTATGAGGGTCTTGGTCTGGGACGAGTAAGTACTTTATGTCATAACCATGTCCAAAACTCTAACGTAGCATGGCTAGTCTTGGTGGGTTAAAATCTGGACAGGCCACCTCTCTCAAAACCAACATTTACGCACAATCCAGCCAGTCTCGAGTTCTGCCGAGACTGCTCACGACGATCGCGATACTATCCCATACCTCTATATCTATGGTTCTCTATCAATAGGCGTGTGCTGCTTGGTATAGTTCGACAATTTGCACTCATGCTTACAACCATCCAAGCCTCCAGGGTGCTATTCCAAAGGTTTGTAGCGGCCATTCTGCGCACTCCATTGCAGTATCTGGACAGGATTCCCCATGGCCGAATTCTCAATAGACTATCCACGGACTTTACCCGCATCGATTCCAAGATTGGGGTAGACGCAGGGTTTCTCATTGGGGAGTCTCTGAAGCTCTTGGCTGTTATGACTACTGGGCTATTCATTTCCCCATTACTGCTAATCTTCGGAATTGTTCTCATGGGCTACTGCTGGAGAGTTCTTCTATATACCTAGCAGGAGCCCGCGAGATAAAACGCCTTGAAAGTATCTCCAGAAGTCCAATCTACGAACAACTTCGGTCATCTCTTGTGGGCTTGACTACCATTCGCGCTTTCGGCAGGTCCTATCACTATACACAGAGCATGCACTCAAAGATCGACCATCATATGCAGGCTTCATGGTATCTAGCACTGTTTCAGCGATGGCTCGGCTTCCGCATGGGCCTCGTCGGGGGCATATTTTCCACGGTCACGGCTGCTATCGTGGTCCAGATGCCAACTATACCAGCCTCCTTGGCTGGCTTCACCTTAAGCTTTGCCTTGCAGTATAGCTCAACCATTACGCTACTACTCAGGCAGTACGCAAACATGGAACTAAACATGAGTGCAGTTGAACGTATCCTTGAATATATCAACGTTGAAAGTGAAGACCAAAATGGTGTAGATGTACCTGCATCCTGGCCCAGTGAAGGACGGATTGAAATCCAAGACTTAACCGTTGGTTACGCTATTAACCAGCAGCCGGTGCTAACCGGACTCACTCTCAACATCAAAGCGAATGAAAAAGTTGGAATTGTCGGACGCACAGGGTCCGGCAAGTCGTCTTTAGCACTAGCCCTCTTCCGGTTCCTTGAGTTTCACAAAGGCAGCATACATATCGATGGGGTGGATATCTCTACGATCAAGATACATGACCTCAGACGTCGGATCGCACTCATCCCTCAGGATCCTGTCCTTTTTTCGGGGACAGTACGGATGAACCTCGATCCCTTTAATGACTTCAGCGACGCAGAACTCGAGAACGCTCTCCAGCGCATCCTTTTCCCAATCCCGTCTGTTGAGGTCAGCAAGGTTCCACACTTGTCTCTCGAGTCCACTATCGCTGAAGGAGGCCTGAGCCTGTCAGGGGGCCAGCGACAGCTCCTCTGTCTAGCACGAGCCATTATATCTAAACCTAAGATTATGGTTCTCGATGAGGCGACATCGTCGGTCGATACGAAAACCGATGCTTCCATTCAACAGCTAATTCAGAAGGAATTTAAGAACTCCACCTTTATCGTTATTGCGCACCGTCTCAGTACCATTATAAATTTTGACCGGATCCTGGTAATGGACAAAGGGTCCGTGGTTGAGTTTGGAACGCCAAGTGAGCTGATGGGTATTGAGGATGGATATTTTAGACGCTTGGTTGATATCAATGGTGAGGGGAAGAGTTTAGAGAAGCGCATTCTTAAATGAGTACATTTTGCTCAATTGATATTCCTTGCTATTGAAAGTCAAGTGATGGTTTGGTTGAACGTGCCGTGTGCGTTCAGGACTTGTATCAAGCGAGGATAGACAGGTTTTAAAATATAGTCACTCATATGGAACTCTCTGATTGTAGATAGATTGCTTTGTTGTCTTTGTTCCTATGTATCGCACTCAAATAAGTGTACAGAGTGGCAATTGATCCAGCTATTGACTTTCCTTGTTGGGCATGTGCACTGTATAGCAAGCTGAGAGGATAGGACACACCAGGGCTACTAAGGAGTGCAGTTTCAAGTCTAATAGGATTGTAGCCTTACACCTATAGGGTTCTGTGTAATCCTAGTACTTTTGTAGCAGCCCCACGAATTAGTAGACTATGTTATCTAGCATCCTGTAGATCACTAAGTGGATGAAAGAGCAAAGACTAAAGCTCTTGGCTTTACACGACTGTGTCTGGTGAAATCAATTGAGATACACGGAATTGTAACTCTATTTGGTAGTGATAGGCGACAAGGCGTGCGGGCTCTCTGGTGGGAAACGAAGCATCTTTTCAGACGGCCGTCTCTCTGAGCCTGATCCGGAGGTCATCCTTGAAGGTTTTAAGAATCACTTCTTGGTTGTCCAACGTGGCGTTCGGATTGTCTAACCAGATTTCGAATCTGGTTATGATCGAAGCGACGACCAGCTTCATCTCGATAATAGCCAAGTCCATTCCGATGCATCTCCTAGCACCTTTGGAGAAAGGCACAAACCATCTCTGTAGTTTTTTCCCTTCTTCCCCAGACCATCGTTCCGGGATGAACTCGTTTGGCTCGGGGAAGAATTTGGGGTTTCTGTTGATATCATCCAAGTGAAAGCCAACTACGGTCTATACGAAGAGTAAGTAAACAAATATGAAATATGACCGCGGCACGTACACCTTTTGGGAGGGAATACCCGCCTATAACACATTCTGTAGTGGTAATCTCACGAGGCAAAACCGTAGAAATTGGCGAGCTGAGTCGAGTTGCTTCGCGGATCACAGCATCCTGGTTCGCATGTCAGAAACTTAAGCTAAGCAAGGACACGCTCACTGCTTACAAGATACGGCATCTGTGAGATTGTTGCCAGCTGTATATCCTGCACCTTAGCTTTCCCAAGGCATTCCACTTCCTGTCGTAATTTAATCATCTTCTCGGGATATTTGCAAAGACACACTAGGGTTGTGGTTAGTGCATGCGCTGTGGTGTCTGAGCCTGCGAAGATGAGGAAAAAAGCCTCGTCGACGAGCCTTTCGATTTGGACCTTGGTCAAGTTTAAACCCTCCTGGATCCCAGCGAATGATCGCAAAAACCTGTCAAAGATTGTACTATCCAATGATCTATCCTTATCATTCTCATGAAGAATTCGGGAGTAGTTCTTTTGTACTAGCTGGTCACTGCGCCTGCGCATCTTCACATAACCTCCAAAGAATGTTCCAATAACCGACAACGGAAGACTGAAAATCAAGCGATTTAGTCCTGGAACCCACTTGAAGAATATGACGCTTCCCAGTGTTGCTTCCATATCAGTTAGGATACTTGCTTCGGTGCTAAAATTATCTGTATAATGTAAGTCCATCCCGAAGGCGAGTAGATATATCACATCGCAGGTTAGTCGCTTAAAGAGATCCACAAGCTCTACAGCCTCCCCAGCGGACTGACGCTGCTGCAGGCCTTGACACATGACGTCCACTTTCGCCCGAATATTGGGGTAACAGGCCTCAATTCCTTTGGAACTGAAGAATGGATCAAGCTGTTTCCGTTGACGCTGGTGGATAAGTGGGTTGGTCTCTGCTCCTAGGGCCCCTGGGACTCCGAACTGCGCGTAAAATCCAGGGTCTTTGCGGTACGCTATTTGGGAATGAAAAACTCTTTCAAATGATACCTCTTGTCAGAATCTTGTGCTTTACGAGCGCATCTTGGAAGCTTACTCGTGGAATAGCTCGGGGTCATTGATATGCAAGAAGTTGGGACGTATTCTGATGATTGGCGACGAATACTTCTCATGAAGCCTGCACATAAGATGACGGGCATTTCTCTGTGCGATTATGTCCTGGTACATATCCCAACCGCTCGTTATTGAGGCGATCGTAGGACCGGGAAAGTGAGAAAGCGGCCCGGCGAATGCATACCAAAGGCGGTACCCAGCCGCGCAGGAGAAAAGGGCAATCAGTATCAGAAACAGTAGGCTGTGCTCTTGGGAGAGAAGTTCAGGCAATGCCATGGCTAATATACCAAAAGGCCTTTCGGGTTTGGTGGGAGATTGCTTCTCAAGCGACTGAACAATCATACTACTTGTACTCGCAGCAGGGCCAGGTCCAGCCCTTATGAGGTATGGATCGATCAAGCGAAGCCTAACCCTAAAGGCTTAAGATTCTCGCTTCCCCCATGCATACTGAGCTGGTGTCGCGCTTTTTTCGCGCCCAGAAGCCAGATAACAATCCAGTACTACAATGCATAATGGAGGGTGATCTGTCGTAACCCTACTTGCTCATGCTGACCCACATCACGACGATCCTGAATTGGAATGGAAAGCACAGTACCACCCGGTCTCTGGGGCCTCCTTTGCGGAATAATGTGACTGTAGATCAATTGTACACTCTTTGCGGCTGCCTACGTTTGTAAACCTTTGCGTGCGTTTTCTATTGGAAGAAACCTTGTACGTAACCTAGAAGTCTTATGAAGGACTAGTCTTGCTCTGTTAGACCTGGATTACGAGTCCTGCAGCTCAAAAAAAAGCTAAATCTTATCAGTCAACCGTGGCAGATCTGCTCTTCATTAACCTATTTGCCTTGCATCAGTGAAGCGACTAGAGTAGAAACAAGACTTTGTCCCAATACAAGATGTGGTAGTATGTATAGCATATGGCCCTAGCCACAAAGTTTAGAATATAGTCTTCGCCAGGCCCCACAAGCGACGACAAATACAGAAAACTACTATAGGGTTTAAATCGAACGACAAGCCGATACAACTATATAAGCCCCCCTTCAACATCAGTCAAGTCCTTGTACTCGAAGGAAACATTGGCCACGCAATTTCACATTACTCCTATCATGGTCGCCAAAGCCATTTCCATAGGCTCTTCAACTCTGAGTTACATTCAGAATTCTGTGCTCCATGAGGCAGATGTGTTTGTACGCTCTACCTGGCGTGACTGGCTAGCATCCGTTATTCCTGGAATCATTTTTTTCCTCGGTTCCCTGACATATTTATCTTTCGAAGGGATTATCTTCAATTCAACCATAACCGTTCTATATATGACGCTTTATATATACTTCTTCAATACATGGACACAATATACGAGCGTCGACGAAGATCGAATCAACAAGCCAGATCGACCCATCCCAGCCGGCATTACTACTACAGCTGGCGCTAAACGCCGTGGGATGGTACTGACTGCACTCTGGTTTGGCTTTGCAGTTTACCGCCCCGACTTGATTGTAGAGACGTGGATCCTAGTCGTCGCCACAATAACCCTGGGGTTGAGTGGTTTCGGACGGCATTGGTTCGTCAAGAATACTATCTGCATGACGGTTATGACTTGGGGTTTGTTATCCTCACTACGGAAGCTCATGGGTGCCTCCCCACCCAATACCTCTAATCACGTATTTTCTCTGTCACTTTGGTCGGGGTTCGTCCTTTATGCCCAGGATTTCCGAGATATTGACGGCGATATGGAGACTGGACGCTGGACACTTCCAATTGCTCTTGGTGATGGCAATGCTAGACTCCTATTTGCCTTTTTCTGTATGCCACTGGGTTATATGTCTTTGTGGTATACTGGCATGGCTCAATTAGCACCCTGGACTCTTGCTGGGCTGCATGCGCTTGTCTCGTTCCGGTTTATGACCTTGCGGAACAAGCCAGCGGATCATGCTTCTTACATGGTGAGTTGGCCTTTTCGGTTGAATGTATAAACGAAAATCATTAACAATTTCTTCTGTCGCAGTGGATTTGCAAGATTTTCTGCATAATGTGTGGGCTTAGCTCATTGGAAGCTGCGAAGCTGATCTCTTCCGATCGCCCACTAGAGGTGGCCGTGCCTTGTCTGCTCCTGGATAGGGATTGAGAGCCTGAGGATAGAAGTCCCTACTAATTTGAGGTTTGCATGGAGCTCAAAAGGCTTCAACTATGATATGTCCATCGCCTCTCTGGTATCAAACCTTGGGCCAGAAAACTCATTTGATCTCCCCTCTTGGATATGGTGTGAAGGCAAGGACAGCATTCCAGAGGATATGAATGTAACAGTAGCAAGCTATAGTTTGACTGCTATACAAAGATTCAACTAAAACTAATATCTCCAGTCTTCTATTTAAAATAGCGGTCTACGTGCAATACTTGAGATATAATATAAGAGCCTACCAGATCTCAATCATATGACAGGGTGCGCTAGGCATTTTGCAACATATTGAAATACTGCATCAACATTCTCCCACTGCCTGAAAAGTGGACGCTCTGAGCATACACTGACGAGTTGTTCTCCATGCTGAACAGCGTGTTCTGCAGGTTACATGTCTATGCTGTATCACTTCCACTGCCCTCGGTACAATGCGCCCACCGCCGATCAGAACATATGTCCCTGGAGATTGGCCAGCTGCGCCATGATAGATAATAAAATTCAATAGTTAGCTTGTGAAATATGCGCTCCTGCTTCAGAGACTTTAAGGAACTTTATCTTGCAGGTTGTTGATAATCCCCGTCTTTTACCTGGACTAGGGCTGGACGTCAATAAATCTCACACCGCTCAATGCTTCACAACTAGGCGTTCAGGCAACCTCGCTGCCGCTTTTCTTTTGTCAATATCCACTATGTTCAAATATTCTCTATTTGTGATCCACGGTGTGCGGTAATGACAATATGCATTTATCCCCCGAGGTGCCTCGAACAGTTCGCAAAGGGCTCAAGCTCTAAGAATCTATGATCGAATGGAAATTCGTGTTTGAATACTTAAACTTTCAGACTAGAGTCTTCGCAAAACCTCAGCATATCCTACACCAATGGTAAAATTCATGGCTTACTCTGTACATTGGCACATCATGCCTGAAAAAACATAATTTACACGGCCTCGGGAGCTTCAATCATATCATCATTCATAACTTCTCAAGGCATTCAAAATATAACTTTCTCAAATGCTTCTTGTAGCCCTCTATCCCGCAGCCATGCCTCTAACGCCTGCATATCACCTCTATTAGCTCTCTGACCACTCCGTTCACCGAGAGAATCCGTAATTTCCTGCATCCCCGAGAACACCCTCTGAACACCTTCCGTCTCCCGAAACCTCTCGCTGACCTTTTTCTGATGACTGGGGATATCGCCCCACGAGTGTGTCTTGATGAATCTCATATAAGCATCGATATCCGCCGACCCACCCTCCAGACACAGTACCCCAGGCTTACCGGCCAACACAAAACCAGTCAGAGAATAGGCCGGCGCATTGTTAACCATATCATCCCTCTTTTCCCGAGTCGACAAAGACGGGAAATAGAACCAAACCCGCACGATGGGTTCCGAATCACCCGCCACAGCCTCAGAAGTGGACGTCTGCCTTGTTTCAAGAAAACGGAGCGCTTCCTCCCGGACGTATTCGAATGCTTCCAGCACATCATCTTGGGGCATTGCGGCGGCCAGTCCCGCAACCTCGGCTTTAGACATCCAATCTGGTTGTCGAAGCGTATAATTCAATGGTGGTGGTTGTTCAATCTCGGGACCCTCGCCTTGAAGGGGAATCGAGATGTTGACTTGGATTGTTTTCTCTCCTTCTACGATAGGTAGACACACAGCGAGGAGTAAGCTTGATGGTATGCCAGAGAGCTCAATGGCTGGGTCCTGACACCAGTCCCGGAGCTTTTCGACGCATTGGGCTGTTGATGTTGGGATGTCAAGTTCGCCTGGTGAAGGGAACATAGCTGTAAGGAGATCAATCATGGATAATTGTGATTCCATGATATCCGGTGGTAGAAGTGTCGGCTGACTTTGTGTCATTTTGGATATGAAGACCTTGCGGTACTGATCTTTGACAATCTCTCCAAGAGTTATATGCGATGACTTTTTCCTAGCGCGAAGAAATGAGGAAACTTAGAGAATAATTTGGGTCAATTGAGTGATATATAAAGAGAGCTAAGTTAGGTGTACACTGTCTTTGAATATCTTCGTGGAAGTCCCTGGATCTCTCTTGTATATGTCAATGAAATTGACATATAAAGATGCAAGATCAATATAAAATGGTCGAATCAAAGTATGCCGACGTCGGCCTGAGTTTATCCGGTCGGAACATCCTTTCTCCCCTCTTTATATGGCACTACAGTACAACTGTAGAATATTGCTATCTTTTAAATAGTAAGTTAGATGGCCGCTTACCTGCTGTGTTTGGCTGAGAGAGGGACGAAAAATGGGTTCTTGTGGATCAAGTCTCAGGAGAGTCACTTGGAAACTTGTAGACATAGGGTCTTCTCGTCCTGAATTGCAGGATAAAATGTCGAGAAATGAATCTTAGATATCGCCAAATGTAGGTTAATTCTTCAATTCTGTGGTGCATATGCATATGATAGGTCTATACATTCCAATCTGTATCATGCGAGATCTACTGCCCCATACCGAGCTCATCCGACAAAAGTTTAAAAATCCAACTTCACCGCTAGTATAAAATCTTAAAAAAACAAATCTCGAGTTTTAATTCTCGGGGACCGGCAACCCTGGAATGTTTTACAGCTTTAACCACCTGGTTTTCTGCCTCAATTGCATACTAGTTAGTCTACATTATCACGGGCATCTCGATGCAACAGCAACAATTAAAGACCGCCAATGTTGACATCACAGTGCATCAGATGAAGAACCAACATGGTATGAAGACACCATTAAGATAGAACACCAATTATTATGCACCCCTGCTAATGCCACTCATTTCGTTGCCAAAGGGGTTATCCGTGGGAAAGCCGATGTGCTCACATTGTCTAATTTTCGCGATCACAGAGTTCTATTTTTCTGGCTCCTTGCGCTTGGGAGTACGATTTCATTTTTCTTCTGGCTCATGGTAGCCACCTACGTAGCCGGGATATGCATCCCTGTCAACCTTGCACAGCTGAAGCATACCATCGCCCGTCTGTCTTTAAATTCGTCTTTCAGCGGAGCCACTACAGACGATGGTAATGCTAGGAGCTCTCTGAAACAGGCTTCTATAGATACCTGGTTTTTACTAAGCCTTACTATGGCTGTGGATGCCTCTGCAATCGTGGCTTCCTTTAACCGTTCACTGATTCGACGATTTCACTACGTTGTCTCTCAGCGCATGATGTTTCTTGCATGCATTATATCATATGCAGTATTGTCATGGAACAAAGACACGACGACTTTTCTGTCACGGCATCCAATTGAGTTATTAGTCCTAGGTTTAACTCTGTACCTGCTATTAGGCATTGTGTTGGACATGTTCGAGCAGCGTGTATCTTCTGATCTGCTCACTTCCTGGGGAACACTTGCAGAGTATAGCAGGGATTTGGGCCATTGTGATACATCCTGGGGGTATGCACTCTTTCTCTCAATAATTGTGGGAGGGCTGGGCATAATTTTGACGATATTCATTCCGCCACCATGGTCAGCTTTAATACCGGTTGTACATATTCTATTCGAGGTACGTTCTCGGGATATTACAGCCTTCTATTACTAGAGCTCTTACTAAGTTATCGCCATATAGTCTGGATTCCTACCAGCCATAAAAGCAAAGCGGACACCCCGGTATCTTGTATTGTGTTCTCCTCTATTCTTTGCCACTATCTGTGTCCATTGGGGAGTAACGCCATTAATAACCAACCCGCGTCTTTCCATTCCCCCGTGGACCTCTCTGACTCTGCTTTTGGTCAGTCGGCTTTTGCTCGATATACATCTAAAAACTATTTTCAGCTCTCGGGCTGAGTTACAATGGGCACGTACGAACGTCCTCATTTCCACACGCAGACTTGTGTGGATCTGTGTAGGAATGGTTTTCTTTGAAAACATTGGAGTGCAGATCATCACATATATCAAGCCAATCTCAGTGGCGATATTCTTTGGGCTGAGCTTCACTGGATCCCTGGCGGTTGCTGCATACAATATTGCTCTCAAGATTCCTACACGCTGAATAACCATGCTCCAAAGGGTGCTTATTACAGACCTTTATAGGATCATGATAGCCGGAAGTGATTATGATAGTGATATATAGTTGCAATTGCAGGGAGGTGTTATATTAGAGGATTCCCGACCTTACTATGAGAGTGTTTCATCTTGGCCGGGGAATGAAACTAGTTATACAGCATATCAAGAATCACATAACACGAATTCTATCGCCCCAAATATGGTCCCAAGTTGCCATCTGAACGGCACAATGATAGATCAAGCACTAACGAAATGCTTTATAGAATCTAACCCCCGATGGTATAAACAAGCACCATGGCTCGTATTGCTGTGGGACCAAGCCCTAAAGATAACGTTGTAGGCCCGCAGCCTACTCTAGAGCATTCCCAATCTGGTTTAGGTCGCTTCTTGCTTATAGGCACGTGATATCCAAAATAGGCATGGCACGCTGCGAACTGGAAAGGGGACCTATAGATAACACACGCTGTTATCGTGGTTCCAAAGTTGCGATACAAAGGGCACCGGATCTCGAACGAAATCAAGCCAGGATCTGACATCTTTTTTCAGCTAAAATCATCTTCGCCAGCAATTCCATTCAGATCACTACTCATGTTGCGATCCACAACATTCACCCGTCATCTAGTCTGCGGCGAGATTACATATTCTGCTGCAAAAGAACTAGAAACCAATGTGTTGGCATCGTTAGGCTATTTGGACGAACAAAATAAGTATTTCGGGGATTTACTCCAGAAGAGCCATCTCATTGAAGCTGTGGTTGCACATCATCTCAACTTGATTCCAACAAGCTGTTACGTTGCTGATCCAAATGAATGGCTCTCTGGGACCTTTAATGTTTGCATCCCAATCTATGTTGGTAACAGCAAACAGGGTCCCAGTTTTCTACTTCGTTTTCCGCTGCCACACAGGGTGGGAGGGAAGGCCAACCCAGGGAACGCTGATGAGAAAATCCTCTGTGAAGTTGGTACCTATACCTGGCTTCAGCACAACTGCCCAGAAGTCCCTATCCCACAACTACATGGATACGGGTTATCAACAGGCCAAAAGCTAAGTGCACCTCTTTTTTTTCTAACCAGCTTTCGCTAAGAGTTAGTTTACTGCTCTCAATAACATACCTTTCTTGGCTCGTTCCATCGAATTCTTCCGCCGCCACTTCTTAAGACTTCTTGGGTACCCAGTACCATCCAAGTATGTTGTTCACAACAGCAAGTTGAGCGAGCCATTAGGAGTCGGGTATCTCCTTATTGAATATATCGATGCGTCACGGGGCAAAATGCTGTCTGAGTCATGGGACCAAGGACGGCACAATGCTCGATTACGAAGAAACTGTTTCCGAAGCTTGTCCAATATAATGCTGGCTGTTACACGTACTCCTCTACCCCGAATTGGTTCTTTCATTGTGAATGAAAAAGGATTTTTAAGGCTAAGCAATAGGCCCCTTACCCTTGAAATTCATGATCTTGAAAATGAGCATATTCCTATAGATATCCCACGCGACTTTACGTATTCCACCGTGGACGCCTATGTCAATGACATCCTCGCATTCCATGAAAGCCGCCTCCGTCATCAACTTAATGCGGTTAATGATGTTCAAGATGGTTTATTCCAGATGGCTGCTTTAACAGTGATGAGAGCTGTTCGGCATATATTCTTCCGCGGCGATCTTCGCCGAGGCCCTTTTCTCATAAGCTTTACAGATCTCCACCAGAGCAACATCTTTGTCGATGAGAACTGGAATATTACATGCCTAGTTGACCTGGAATGGGCCTGTTCTCGTCCAGCAGAAATGATTCACCCACCGTATTGGCTGAGTAACCAATCTGTTGATGGGATTGACCTTGGAGAATACGAAAGCCTTCATAAGGAATTCATGCATGCTTTCGCAGAGCAGATACCAAGGTATCCTCATCAATCAGGGGAACGGCTCCACTCAATACTCCACGAAGGATGGGACCAAGGCACATTCTGGTACGCCCTTGCACTTGATAGTCCGAGTGGACTTTTTCAAATCTTTTACGACCACATACAACCACGATTTTCAAAAGATCACATAAATGATGCAGTATTTTTCCGGATCACTATGGATTACTGGACAGTCAATGCAGCCAAATTTATCCATCAAAAAGTCAAAGACAAAGAAAAATACGATCGGCTATTGCTCGAAGCTTTTACACAGCCTTCCATGGACCAGATGCCTATGCACCCGTAATACGGTTATATTTCCCCGGCTCCCCTCTGCTGCTGGGCAGCTCCACCCCCACTGCTACCCTGATCGTTTTCGCGAGCCTGCAGATCTCTTGCTGCAGTGTCGAGAGATGCCTGCGCATTTATGATCCGTTTCTTATGGGCTTTTCTGCCCGATGAAGAAAGCTGGTTAAGGGTTTTGGCGTCTCCTTTGATGCCCCTTTCGCTTCTTCAATCGTAGATAAACTAAGCCTTGCTTTAAGGTACTGTAACTGTTCGTAGCGAACCAGATTGACTTAGGTAGGATCTATGGTCCGAAGAGATAGCATGTGATTTAGCGAATAAGATATCATCCCAACCAGTGGCAGGTTGTAGGTAACTGGGATGCTTCACGAACATGTTGATGCAATAAATATAGTTCAGATGACTCTCCATAGGGACAGCTTTTCATTAGAGGAGAACAGGTTTGACCCAGACTAACCCCGACACGGTGTTGAACCCTTCCATGCAACTACAATGCACCTAGGACAGCCTTGGATCAGATCTCACTCAGCTGCAGACATCAAAAGCGCTTGGTTCCTCAAAAGTTCGTCTTCTGTTAAAGAAAAAATATCCAAGTTCATTTAAGAACGTTAGATTTGTAGGGAAATTACAATGAATAGGAAATGTAGGATTGAATACCTTAAACAAACAACAAGAAAAAAGCAAAATATTAACAAATGTTTTATCTAATTATAGTTCAAAAGTATATTGAATACAAGGTCTTTATTACAGAAATTTGCTAGGTATTCAAGGTAGGGTGAGACATCCATAAATGACCACGCCCTGTACTATTCAATGTCATGTCCTTGTATATCCAGCGGAGTATGAGTGAGCCCAGTCACGGAGTATTTTCCTTCACTCAAGATAGAGCAGTCGATTGTCCAGTAGGATATCGGTAGCAGCAGCCTCCCCCCACCATGAGATTCACTAATATAGTGCAATATTCCTTTGTTTTCATATGGCGAGTACCAAATCACACCAGAAGCTGCAATCGAACTTTCTCATTCCTTCACTACTTTTGCATCCTATTTAAAAGAGCCAACCGCTTCTTCTGATCATATCTCTCCATCCATCTTTCTTTACTCCCCTCACAATAGTCAACCCTTAGTTTTCTCTATAACACTATAACTTACATCAAATGCAATTCTTCTCATCATGACTTCCTTGCTTGAAGAGAGAATTCGGAAGGTGATCCTCAGAATGAGTGGGCACAATAACTGTGTGGAGTGGCAGGAAACCCTCAAATCTTGGACGGACGACGAGATCGTCAAAGAGATGATGAAATGGACCATGCCAGCAGTGAAGGTATTGATGAACAGAGAAGAGCCCCCGACCTTCAAAGACTTGAAGGATATCCCATGGGTGTCAACTAGACAGCTTGGAGTTTATTTAAAGCTTATCTTCGAGAGTCTCGAGAACCCTACGGCATTCGACCACTTCGTTTATCCCGGGAGTGCCATTAGGTGGGATGTTGGTGGGCTTAACCACCACCGCCGGGGGCATGAGAGCAAGCCAGGGCCAAGGTACGTTCAGTGACAACCAATATCATATTACTTACTACCTGTACTAACGACGGTGACCATAGAACAAAGTGGTCATACACCCACAAGCTAGTCTTTGGGAAAAAAGACGCCAGCAGAAGTTCGGTACGCTCTTCAAAGTGGAGATGGACTGCCACTTCCCCTCCATCAAGAAAGAGGAGAGTGTAAGACATCTGTGCCTTTTCGCCATGGCTATGTATACCTACATCTTCGGGGCCTTTAGGAACCCTGATGAGAACCAGGTGTTAGCATGAGTGTCTTCATGGACGACTGCCTGTTCCTACTACCTCAGAACGACCGATAGATGTGGGCTCTCTTCCGGACTGTCGACTCTATGAGTCACCCGTATATCCAAATTGCATCCTCTTTGAAGATCTACGAACGGAGTCTGTGGTGGTAAGGGTTAATGGTGTCTAGGAAGAGAAGACCGCGTTTAGAGCTCATAGGACCGCCCAATAAATGAGGTCACATTTGCTTACACTTTGTCAAAATTCTACGAGAAACAAACCACGACTCCAACTGGGCTCGCCGACAAGCGGGTGGGATTCGCGGTCCAAAACAGGATTCCAGCGAAAGTCGTGTCATCAAAGGAAGTTCGTGGGATGGTATGTGAGCACAGAGCTAAACAAGTCCAGGATGCATAGCCTTTCGTTATATTGAGGTTCTGTGCTTACAGCTGAGCAATGTTATAGGTGTTTCCGCTTCTTATTGATTTCAAGTTTAACCACCACTTCATTTGATACGTTGAATATACTTAGTTAGGGGCAAATGTTACTGAGATAATCAGTACGGAGTAATAAACATTCCCTAATGACGCATTGGTTCGTAAGACACTGTGCATCCGCTGCTTTAAGCGAAGCTATGGATAGGTAGTATCAAGCCGTCCTGAAAGGGTATATAGACAGATATGTTGTTAAGTTGTTATTGTAATAGACGAGACATTCGCCAGTGGTTTCCCCAGGCATCTCAGAGTGTAGAAGTACTGCATGATCTCCTCATCTGAATCAAGCGTGAAATCAGGAGATCTACAGGCCTCCCGGATCCGTACTGTTGTCAAGACATACGTATAGAATTATATAAAAGGCTAAGATATGCCCTGTGCATGCTTCTGTAGATGATTTTCATGATCGATTCACGATTCCCAGAATGTATACTCGCGATGATTTAAATACAATGCCCTCAAGTTTCATTCACCCTATTGTAGGCTGCTGCTATCTTCGAAAATCACTGGCTTTGCTTTGACGGTGCAGTGTCTTTGAGTGAGCGATGTATATTCTGACAGCTCCAGTTTGAGAATTATCGAAAGAGTGATACAATTGCCGGACTAACGTTAACAAGGCTGACTCCTCCTCAATCAACGTCTCATTTCTCAGAATGCCCTTTTTTTTGAGGTCTATAGACAGACTTCAATTTCTATCCACACAATTTCGGTCTATCTAACTTTGGCTATAGGGATATTATTCAGGGCTGTGACTAGTTGGAATCGCTTGGGGTGCACTCGGTATGATTCAGCGTTTATTCCCATTCCACCGTTACAACAGACATCCAAGCAAACTACACTAGATATGGCCATAAGCAAATACTACGCGAATGACTGAGATCGAGATTTGACAACTTTCTTCACGTGCAGTTAATCGGTCCTAGAGCTGAACGAACGCATATCTTCTCCCTCCGAGACATTCTACCATCGATCCAAGTTGCACGGAGGCAGTTAGAGTTGAACTGTAGGCGGATCTTCGATCTTATCAATACCAGCGTCCTTGATATATTGTTCAACATCAGGCTGGAGCATTTTCCACGTCCTTTCGTTGTACTTGAAGTCATTTCGGCCTAAGTCGCATTCAACATTTATCTGAGACAGAGCGTCTTTGCCCTTGATAACCTTATACATCTCCTGGTTTAAGGTATATGTAATGTTTCGAATGGCTTTCTTCTAATTAGTGCAAGGTCTCTACATCCCTAGGACATGTATTGTACTCACATACGCGCAGATCGTCTCTCATTTCATCATACTCCAATACCTGGAGCATACCCCAGAAAGACTGCTGCTTAGGCGTGAACTCTGTCTTGCTGATGGTGTCTGCAACTCCCTTGATGATATCTTCGAGCGGTGGCGAAAGTAGCCCGACGTGTGAAATCCCGATCAGCATGGTATTAACCAACACCGAGTGAAAAGAACGCTTTTCGACATTGACTTTCTCACTAACAGTCTCTTGGTGAGAGGGATTGATCCTGAAATACTGTCAGCCTTGATTGGCATTGATCTAGTCTGGACTCTGGATATAACCTCACCATGGATAGATGCCATCCTGGAAATAGCTTTCCAAGACCCTAGCACGATATTGAGAGCGTTTCCACCGAGATGAGTCACTGTTATCAGTTGGCAGTGTACCTTCAGCTTTCCGCTGCATGACCTGAATGCCAGCGTGGATGGTCGCGAATTGGTGAGTCAACCTGAGCCTATGCTTAAACTCTTCGATGCGATCCCTGAACCGCTCACTAATATCACGTCCCACCATGTTGATCCATATGAGATTTTGCGGATCATTGAATCCCATATCATCGTCACTGGGAATCTCGCCCGGGGTCATGCCCGGGTCCATGCGCGGAGGCTTACCAATAGGAAGATCCATGGTGTCGAAGAGACCAAGTGTAAATGCTAGATTTGACCACAGTATGAGGGACTTGGAGATGTTAAAGGACTGTATCTGACGGATCATGACCGTAATATATACCTTTGCCTGGACTCGGCCCATAATTGCGGGGAATGCTTCTTTTCCGACTTTTTGTTATCTGCTTGCCGAGTGTGTGTGAGTGTGAGTTGGCTGTGCAGCTCTGCGTTGTCTTGCAGGATGCAGCATCGACCATCACTACCGAACAGGTCATCTTTCATGATGCATACAGAAGTTAATCATGGCCAAATCAATGTCTGTGATTTGCACATGTGTATGTCGCAGTCAAATGGAAGACGCGAAATCTCGAACCTTGAACGCAGGACGAGGTGCCCTGTGTCTATCATGCTGTTGACCAGCGTAGAAGTTATAAATCCCGTTCTGTCTTTCTCTCCTTGTCTCTCTCTCTCTGTTACACACACATATATTATGGTTATTGGGGTTTCCAACTATTGTAGGTAGTAGCCTTGATATTCAGATAGGTTTACAGGTGTTGGTGAGAACAAATATACCAAGAGCCAGGCCATGAGTGAGGGGCACTCTTGTCATGAAGCGGAAAATAATCGAGATCTCTGCAACATCTGCAGGAATACGTGGCAATTCCTCAAAGTGCCATTTTACCATCGAGTTGCCCAATGCTGCAGAAGATCCCCGCCTTCGTGCCTGAGCCTAATATCGCTTCGTTTGTCATGGATGAGGCTAGATCGGGTATCTGGACGCTTGGCCGTCCGTGCCCTGCATACAGGCCGGAGCTACGAATAATAGCTTAGCTTTTCCTTTTCCCTTCTATTTTGCAAAGTATCATGGCACTACTGATACATAGACTATATTACTAACGAGGAAAATGTCAGACAACAGCGACGTTACCTTCCATATCCAACACGCTTGTCCAGTATCGGCTCAACCCACCGTGAAGCGCGTCATGAAATGAGGCTAGACCCAGTATAGATAGAGCGGCAGTGCTGTGTCGGTATAAATGGATGGTAACCTGTTTCTGTGGGATCCAGCGTAGATCACCTGCAGTAGGCCTCGGGCTTTTTGAGCCACATTCAGTGTGCTGTTTAGACTTTAGTCCATTTATGTGCAGATTACGTGTTCTATTAGGTAAATATCACGAGTTCAAATTAACACAGACTTCCTCTAGATAGAACTATTTGGTGTTCAGACTTCCCTACTTGCATACATGAAGCTGGGATGAACTTACATCGTGCAATCATTGAGCTCCGCGCAGGATATCTAGGTTCGGCAAGTTAGGTGCGCCGCGAAAGTTGTGTCCACTTTCCCTTCCTCCCCTTGACAGTGCCCTACACAGTTCGGTCAGTTCAGTTGTGGCACTCGAAATTGAACTGGACTGGATTCACTGAACGTAGTATAAGAATTACAGTGGGTTCCCCGTTGGACCAACCTGAACCCGAAACCGGCGCGGGTCTCCGCTAGAAGTTAAGTCTTAGCAGATTATTCCACGATGGCTTCTATAATTGCTCCTCTGTGGATATCAGATAGAGTAGTTGAGTTGTAAGCATCGTATAAAATAGGGATTCAAGATCTGACATATACATATAAGGACAACCAACTTGGACGCTCTGAGCATCTCCAATAGATATATAGGCTTATTACCTATTTTTTGCAATCTGAGGGCTGGCACGTTCTATCTTCGGTATTCTGCTTCTCGCTCTATCCTCCCCCGTCGAGAAACAGTCTTGGAAAGAAGTATGCTCCACCTTACTTTGGTGAAGCCCATGAATGACTAACACAAAGACAACACAGTCTGGCCACAGCCAAGGTTTCTCTCATTTTGACTGTTCTTTTCCGTCCTAGCGGGCTGGATCTGGAGCTGGATGAAACGCACGAAACGGACGTGATCGCGGTGCATGATTTCTTTTCCCATGCCGAGGTTCACGTCGAAAGGTGCCAGGGGTTTGATATGGTGATTCTGTGTGGGTGGACGTGTTTCACGACATATGCACTTGCTTCCGCTAGGGGAATGAGAGCTTGGGGGTACTCAGTACAATATTGGTTCTACTTAGCGTAATTCCACTCGCTGCAGTCTGGTGGATGCGGTTGTCTGACTATATTTCCTCATTCACCTCCAGACTCTTCTTTTCTCTCTTTCTCTTCCTTGATTTTCTCGTCCCTCTCTCTGTTGACAGGCAAGTGTCAAATGTAATCTAGAATACATAAATATTCCAACCACGCCTTCATTTTATGCCAGTAAACATGAACAAATAACAGTAATTCCCAGGTAAAAACACCGGAGACAATTTCTATCCAGTTCAGATACCAAGGCTCGGTCAGCGAGCGATCTGACTAACTTTTGCTCGGCGGCGGAAGAGGTTAAGATTAACTACTCCGTACAAGTACCCACTATGCTTACTATTGTTCAGTAGATATTAATATAAGGGGTATTATGCATGTTTAATTTAACAGAAACATATACCAATTCGTTACTTTTTTTTTTTTCTCTGGAACTGTTCTTGGTGTAATTGTGGAGCTCCTGGATAAATTTTGAAATTTACTAGTCGTGATTTTTAGGCTAAACTTCAGTATTCAGGTAGAGAAACTACTAGCTACCAGAAGGGTGC